CAGCGGATTGGCGAGCAGCCAGCAGCACCAGTTCCAAATGCAGTCAAGCCTGTAGCTGAACCTACTGACGAGGAACGGAGACTTCATGAGCTGACGCATTTGCCGTTCAAGAATTGGTGTTTGTTCTGCCAGGAGCACAAAAGTAGATCTGATGCACATAAGGCTTCAGATGTGTCCCAGCATGGGGTGCCCACGATTTCGTTCGACTTCTCCTTCACAGGAAGAGAGGAAGGTGGTAAGGATAAGCTTGTTGCGCTTGTTGTCAGAGACAGCTTCTCTGGTTGGAGGGAAGCAATTCCCGTTGCGCGCAAGGGAGGTGCTACCTCCAGATCTTACCTCGCCAGCGAGGTCACGCGACTCTTGAATATGCTAGGGCATGGCACCGTGAAGCTGCGCTGTGATCCAGAATCTGTGTGCTTAGCCCTGAGGGATGAAATCATCAAGCGTCGTTCAAAGTTTGGGCATCGCACTTTGTTTGATCAAGTTGCTGAAGGTGAGCATCAAAGCAATGGCGGGGCAGAGGCAGCAGTGCATCAGACTCGCCTGCAGGCTGGAGTGTTGCTTTCGCAGTACGAGGCCAGGAGTGGCAAGTCTGTTCAGACGACTCACCCACTGCATTCGTGGTCCATGCGCCATGCGTCGTGGCTTTTAAACCGGTTTGGACAAGCCCGGTCTGGGACCACTCCGTTTGAGGATGTCATGAACACCACATACCGTGGCAAAGTTTGCAGCTTTGGCATGTCTGTGCTGAGTTTAGCCCGTGGGACTGCTAAGGGTCGTCCTAGTTGGGTTAAGTCAATCTGGCTCGGCAAGAGCGCCAGCAGCGATCAGCACATCACGTGCACAGCCGGAGGCAAGCTCCTCCTCACCCGTTCCGTCAGGCTTCTGAATCCTCAGTACGATGCAACATTGCATGATGCAGTGCGTGATCAAAGCTGGCAACATCCAGGCCTCCTTGCTGGAACTGTGGGCAAGTCTGCTACGCAGCGTACCAAGGAAGTCACCGACACTGGTGAGTTTAGTGCTGAGGCCGCCGCTGATGGCGTAGGTGCAATCACGCCTCTTGTTGTTCCCCCGCCTGGTACTCCCGATGAAGCTGGTACGGATCCTTCGTCTGACAAGGACAGCAGCAGTGGCGGGGATGACCAAGACAATGGGGGTGATAATGGTGGTGGTCTAGGATCTGATGTTTATAGTCCCGACATAAGCCCCAGGAGTATAAGTGGTGATGGTTCCAGGCATAGCATGAGTGGTGCTAGTGCAAGTGCTGCAGATGCCCCAGGTGATGACACAGCAGGCCGTGGTGTGAAGCATGGTCTTGATGGCGGGGCTGGCGGGGCAGACAGCTCTGCATCAGCAG